GTCGTGAGGTGGTCGGGGCGGTCTTCCGCTATCCCCCCCGTGGGCGCGTGGCCGGAATGTTGGGCGCGGCCGGTCGGGGTCGCGTGCGCGTGGGAGGCTCGGGCGGCGCGGTTTCGGCGGCGTGCCCGGGCGGGCGTGCTCGGGGGTACAGTGCCGTTTTTAACACACGCTCCGCGTGCGGATCATGTATTAAAAATGCAGGGATCTAGCACTAAAAACAAAGATGAGCTCATGCATCAACTTAGTCATAAATTAGTCATGTATTCAAAATCCCATGTTTTTAAACATCCTATGTATTAAAAACTGCCCTGTGTTCTCTTGACGGCCGTGCCCGGGTGGATCCCGCGGGGGCTGCTCCCTGTCTTTGCCCCGAGGGCGCGCTCGGTGCGCGCGGATCCCCGTCGCCCTCGGTCGCCCGTGTTTGCCGCGGTTAAGTCGGGCCTGTCCCTCTACAGGAGGAATCTTCAAGATAGTTCAAAGATAGTCAGGGGGCGATGCTTCTGACATTTTTTTTTTTTTTTTTTTTTTCTCTCATTTTTCGTCCGAAATCCCGCTGTGCAGTCGGGCCGCTGAATAAGGAACCCTTCTCGTTGGGGAGGGGCTCAGTGTTCCTTGATTGTGTTGTCTTTGTTCTAGGTGTTCCTTCGGTTTTCCATGGGCAATCGAAGTTCAGCTTGTGGAAAAAAGGGGCCTCGTTCCTTATTTAGGGTTCCTTGTGGCAGCAGTTCGACTGTACGGGGACAGACCTCACTGAACGCTACGGCGGGGAACTGGCCATCCTTTCGTCACCCTGGGCGGGGGACGGCCTGAGCTCGATTGAAGCTGCACCATGCCCTCCGCCTGTCGTGTCGTACCCCAGCTGTCGTTCTCTGGGTCAAGTTGCTGCCACGAAGCCGCCTGCTTGTTCTGAGGATTTTTCCTCACACAGCGCTTCCACTTGAGGGGTTCTGATGGAAGGCGTTGCCGCTAGGTTTCGAGGTTTTGGCGATGACCGGCGGTGCGCTGCTGAATGCTCCCCTTTGAAGTTGCCCAATCAATCGACATCAGTTTCCAGTACCTCTGGCATGGCGCGACATTACCTCCTCTTGAGTTCCCCATGAGCGCTTTCCCTTCCTCTTGGTTTTCCCGGAGGTGTGCGGCGGTGTGTTACGGTCCCCTGTCAGTTTCCGCGCGTCCCATTCAGTGTTGGCATTGATTGCTAAGGGGGTGATTCTCGTTTGTGTTTCTCAGTGCAGTGGAAATCCCTGCCAAGAAGCACCCTGCTTACCTCCATGGTGCCCTGGTTTTCTTGGGCCTCTATGGTCTGCTACGGAAAGCGTGACGCTCCCACACCAGAAAATCAACGGACGCCTTGGGGCATCAGGGTTGGGTTTCTTGTGGAAGGTTCTTGTGTGCCGAGCTCCTACTCTACCCAGCGCCCGCCGAACCCCCAAGGCTCTCCACCGCTCTGCCTCTCTTGCTCGTCGCGTCGACAGTCGACGCCGCGGACAGTCACTCCCGCCCAGACTCCATCAGACGCAGGAGCTCGTACTCCGACCCGCCGTTCATGGTCACACGCACACACGCGCGCTCATACAGTCAACGCGCCTAGTAAGGACGCGCGCCTTCGTCTAGGGTACCCTTGTGTCCTCGCCTCTGAGGCCCGTCCTTGCCGTTATCATTGGTCGCCCGCCGCCCTAAAAAGCCCAACTTCGGCCTCCAAGAGGGTCCTGCGTCCGTATCGCCCGTCCTTGATACACGTTTTGACTGTACCCCGACCCATTTCATGTGCACATGGGGATCACGACTCAGATCGAAATGACCACCTCCAGGAGCACCCCAGGAACCTCCACGCGCCTGCCTCCAGGGGCCTCCCACGTGCTTCCGTGGGCTCCTCAGCGTCAGCCGCGGAGCCTCCGGCAGCTCCCAGAGGGCCTCCCGAGGGCTTCCGGAGGCATCCCCTGGAGAGGTCCCGCTGGAGTTATGTCGGGCCTGTCGTCCTACAGGGGGATCTTCGACGAAAATAAAGAATACCCACAAATACTCCAAAAAGGTCAACAAATACTCAAGAAATAGTCCCCAGACTATTTTTGGACTATTTTTTGTATTTTTTTTGGGAGGGGTATTTTTTATTAATCGCTTCGCTCATTCCGCCGGCCCATATTGTCGCACCGTTGTGGGCTAGCCGAGTTTTGGGGGCCGTTTTGGGGCCTCTTGGGGCCTCTTTTGGGCCTCTTGGGCGCCTCTTGGGGCGTCTTGGGGGCCTCTTGGGGGCCTCTTGGGGCCTTTTTGGGGCCTCCTGGAGGGCTCGATTTTTCAGTTCTCGGTTCCCCTCTTGAGCCCCTCTTGGTCCGTCTTGGGCCTCTTGGTCCGTCTTGGGCGGCACTTGGGCCGTCTTGGGGGCCCTCCTGGGCCGTTCCCGGGCCGTCTTGGGAGCCTCGTGGGCCGTCTTGGAGCGGTCTTGGGGGCCTCTTGGGCCGTCTTGGAGCGTCCGGAAGCCGAAAAAGCCAGAACGCAAAAAACATCGAATTATCCCGGCGAAGGGCCCAACCATATGCAGTTGTGAATGCCGCAATTGTGAATGCCATCTTCGCCTGCGCTCCCTATGTGGCCACGGCTTCCCGCCGGAGCCCGACATGCTCATGGACACGTTCGTGGCCGTCTTCGCGGGCGCCGACGACGACAAGGACGGCGTCCCTCTCACCGAGGAGCAGAAGCAGGAGAAGGCCTTGAGAGCCATGAGGGAGGAGGTGGCGTTGCACGTCGACAAGGCGGAGTACGACGCCCATGCGCGGTTGTTGAAGCAGCGCAACTATGGGGCCACGATCCTCGTGAGGGATGTGCCGCTATGGCCCGGGGCCGCCATGCGAACCCTGCCACTGGCGCCTTCGGTGGAGCTCCAGTGGGGCCACGGTCCTCGTGAGCCGAAATGGCCCGAGGCCGCCATGCGAACCCTGCCACTGGGGCCTTCGGTGGAGCTCCCCATAGGGCCACGATCCTCGTGAGGGGTGTGCCGAAATGGCCCGAGGCCGCCATGCGAACCCTGCCACTGGCGCCTTCGGTGGAGCTCCCTATGGGGCCACGATCCTCGTGAGGGGTGTGCCGAAATGGCCCGAGGCCGCCATGCGAACCCTGCCACTGGCGCCTTCGGTGGAGCTCCCTATGGGGCCACGATCCTCGTGAGGGGTGTGCCGAAATGGCCCGAGGCCGCCATGCGAACCCTGCCACTGGGGGCCTTCGGTGGAGCTCCCTATGGGGCCACAATCCTCGAGAGGGGTGTGCCGAAATGGCCCGAGGCCGCCATGCGAACCCTGCCACTGGCGCCTTCGGTGGAGCTCCCTATGGGGCCACGATCCTCGTGAGGGGTGTGCCGAAATGGCCCGAGGCCGCCATGCGAACCCTGCCACTGGCGCCTTCGGTGGAGCTCCCTATGGGGCCACGATCCTCGTGAGGGGTGTGCCGAAATGGCCCGAGGCCGCCATGCGAACCCTGCCACTGGCGCCTTCGGTGGAGCTCCCTATGGGGCCACGATCCTCGTGAGGGGTGTGCCGAAATGGCCCGAGGCCGCCATGCGAACCCTGCCACTGGCGCCTTCGGTGGAGCTCCCTATGGGGCCACGATCCTCGTGAGGGGTGTGCCGAAATGGCCCGAGGCCGCCATGCGAACCCTGCCACTGGCGCCTTCGGTGGAGCTCCCTATGGGGCCACGATCTCGTGACGATCCTTGAACCCTGCCATAACCCTGCCAGTGGAGCTCCCTATGGGGCCACGCGTGAGGGGTGTGCCCTTCGGTGGAGCTCCCTATGTGGCCACGATCCTCGTGAGGGGTGCCGAAATGGCCCGAGGCCGCCATGCGAACCCTGCCACTGGCGCCTTCGGTGGGCTCCCTATGGGGCCACGATCCTCGTGAGGGGTGTGCCGAAATGGCCCGAGGCCGCCATGCGAACCCTGCCACTGGCGCCTTCGGTGGAGCTCCCTATGGGGCCACGATCCTCGTGAGGGGTGTGCCGAAATGGCCCGAGGCCGCCATGCGAACCCTGCCACTGGAGCCTTCGGTGGAGCTCCCTATGGGGCCACGATCTTCGTGAGGGGTGTGCCGAAATGGCCCGAGGCCGCCATGCGAACCCTGCCAGTGGGGCCTTCGGTGGAGCTCCTATGGGGCCACGAAGCGGTGGGTGAAACGCAGGGATGAAGAGGAGGAAGGGGGCAGCGGGAGGAGTGGACGCGGGGCGCTGTCTCTTCAAAACGAGGACCCAACACCACAGGATGGTTGGGAAAAAAACAATGACAATCAACGATTTTGGCCTCTTGGGGCCCTCTTCGGAGGCCTCTTGGAAGGCCCTTGGGGCGTCTTGGAGGCCTCTTGGGCTGTCTTGGGGCCCTGTTGGGCGTCTTCGGGCGATCTTTGGCCGTCTCGGGGCCCTCTTGGACCGTCTTGGAGGCTTCTTGGGGACCTCTTGGCCCGTCCTGGGGCCCTGTAACAGAACTCCGGCATCTCTGACCCGACCTTGCCGGGGACTTGCCGGGGACTTGCCGGGACCTTGCCGGGGTACTTTTCGTCCGGGGACCCCCAGGGGCCGCCCCGCGCGCGCGAATTAGAAATACTGTTAACCAGGTACCGGAGATCTTAGCACGCCCTGGCCCGTTGGGCCGGCGAATTTTTCGTCGAAAATCCCCCCTGTAGCACGACAGGCCCGACTTCACACTGGAGGACGGTGCGGCATTGGGGTGCGGGGACCGCCCGCTCGCCTCCCCAGTCGGCATCCCGACCATCCTCCCTCCGGAGGTCGATGGACCTCCTGCCCCGACACGTCGATTGGTGACTTGGCCATGTTCGGGTTCGCGAGAGGGCGTCGCGGCCGTTATTTTTGCGGGTCCAGGTCCGTCGGTTTCGGTCTTGGGCCGCTTTCACTAAAGGGACGTTTACTAAAGGGAGGTTTGTCCACCGCATCGCATACATTCTCTCCCGCCTCCCCGCTCCCCCCCTGCCGTTTCACACCTCTCTCCGGCCTCCCCGCGCAGGCGCTGGCACCCAGGTTTCACAGATCTTCGCCGTCGTGGCGCTGATGGCAGTGGGCCTCGCCGCCGGAGCCGTGGGCAGGCGAAGATGCGTCGTCGTCGTCGATCGGGGGTGGACAGACCTCCTACCCTGACACGTCGGTTAGCGAATTGGCCGTTTTCGGGTTCGCGAGAGGGCGTCGCGGCCGTCATTTTGCGGGTCCAGGTCCGTCGGTTTCTGTCCCAGGCCGTTTTCATTAATGGGAGGTTTACTAAAGGGAGGTTTGTCCAACGCCGAATCGAGAATAAAAGAACCCCGAACCCTAACAGCACAGTGAAGACGTGGACTCACGGAGGTCCCCGTCTTTGCATCAGGGATCATAGATCTGGGCGGTTTGGTTCGATACGGCTGCAGGAGAAGAGCCCCTGTCCCCAATGCCAATGTCTTTGGCTCTCCTGACTTAGGTCCCCTCCCAAAGGGTCAGGGGCCCTTTTTGGTTAATCACGTCGGGGGGTGGGCGGGCGGGTGGGGGTGGGGGGGCACGAAGAAAAACGCAAGTAACACCGAGGAGCGGACGGCGGGACGGGAGCACGGAGAAGGCGATGGCTGCCCTGCCGTGGGGTGGAAGAGAGTGCCAAGGGTGCAGGACAGGCGGAGGTAATCGTTGGCAAATCGTGGGAGCTTTGGGTACTCCAGATTTCGTAGTAAAAGGGAGGGGGTCACAACCCTCCCAGACCAGAAGTTTTAGACCCCCCCAGACCATCCATGAAAGGGCGGCACTTTGCCCAGACCCCCCCCCCGAACCCTTCAAGACAGCTCAAATCAGACCCCCCCTGCCAAATGTGACCCCCCCTACTTTATTATGGAATCCGGAGTACCCTCGCAATTCTGTCTTTAGCGTCGATGAGCCTCGATTAGCGTCTCGGAGTCGAGATCGCGCCGATTTAGCGTCGGCAAGCGTCGATTCGCGTCGATGCAGCGCCGATGAGCGTCGATTTAGCGTTGATTAGCGTCGATTCGCAGGAGCCGACAAGATGGTATGCAAGGCTCCCATGAGTTGCCACCGAACAGGATGGGCCCGGCCAGGATCGGTGAGGTGTCGGTTGATGCCCCCATTTTGGCGCTGAGGCTCTCGTCAAGGGTGGATGGGCGGGGGGGGGATCTGAGAACTTTTTCGGGATCCCGCAAAGCAGGTGTGTGCCCAGGCGTGTGTGTGTGTGTGTGTGTGTGTGTGTGTGTGTGTGTGTGTGTTTGTGTGAGAGTTCGATCGAGTTTGCACCAAGCTGCCCAAAGCAGATGCTCCCCATCCGCCAGCAGCTGCCGATGGTTGCCGATGGGTGGGGCATGCGGGGGGCATCTGTTTGCGGCAGTTCGGTGCACCAGCGGATCGAACTCATGCCCCCCCTCAGGGTAACCCTTCGTTGTTTGGTGGATCCCGATGATGCACCCACTTGGCGCTCAGGTTGTCGTCAAGGGTGGGTGGGCCAGGGGGGGGTCTGAGACCACTTGCAAGCTCCGGAAAACCCAGGGTATTAGAACCCCTAGCTGGGGGTGCAGATACCCCCGAACACTGGGCCCCGGCCGGTGTCGCAGAAGTCTTACCTGCAGGAGTTCAACTGTGGTTGCCTAGTTCACCGCCCACCAAGCCACCCCAACCCAACCCGAGGGCTCCGATTTGCCCTCCATTTCCAGTGTGGTGGGTGTCGGGGAACATGGGAAAACGCATGAAGGCCTTCCCCCCCTCAACCTGAAATTCGGGTCGTCGGGTTAGGTTGGGGTGGCCTGGCAGGTGGTCACTAGTGGAGGAGGTGGTGACCTCGGCGACGCGCACAGGATGGTGGTCGCGAGGGGTGTGGCCTGCTGAGAGGTCGGGGTGGCCTCCAAGAAGGCAGCGGGCTCCTTGCAAGCCTTCAGTCGGGCGTGTCCCTCTACACGAGGAACATTCAAAAAATAATTGTCGGGGGACGATGTTCCGGTTTTTTGTTTGTGTGTGAGAGAGAGATCATTGTTGAATCTTTTTTGACTACTTGTTGTTTTTGTTCCAAATTCCGCCTGTAGGGGGACATGCCCAACCTAACACCCCCCTCACTCCCCTGGCGCCTTCCCCTCGTCTGCGCCGCCGATGGCATCTGGTGCCCCCTCTCCCCGCGAAGCCAAGCTCTCTCTCTCTCTCCCTGGGGGTGCTCTCCCTAGGAGGCGCTCTTCTGTGACTTGCCCGAGGCGTGCCCCTGTCCTTAGGATTGGCGTCATCTTATCTCGGTGCCGATGTCCAGGATTCGCCCAGCTTCGGAGAGCGCATCCCCGAGGCTGCCATGGCCCTGGGCTTGCCTGGTAGGCATCAGGGAGAGGTCGAGGCCTGTTGAGCGCTCTCTCTCGGGCCACTGGTGGGGTCCGCTGTGAGCAGCAGGCGGCGCCGCCGCAGAGAAGCCTCTTCGGGGGGGCGGGAGGGACGGGGCTCAAGCCCCGCTCTCCGGCCGAGGCCGAGGCGAGGCGGAGGCTGAGGGGGAGGGGAGAGGCCGAGGG